AGGCAGGAGTTATGCATTTCCTTAAGAAATGGCTTTTAATGTTCTTAAAATTTCATCTTTTGCATCTTACACTCATTGTCCTGAAGTAGTCGTTTGGTCCAGTTTATTGCATGTGACAAGTTCTCTGTGTGTGTTGAACACACACTCCAACTGATGTGTAAATATAGACATCTGTGTACCCGCAACGCTGTCTCTCTGAGCCCTGCAGGCAGTTGGATTCTCTTATCTTTATGGTGGATTTCCTGCACATTTCTCGCCCACATCCTGTGTCTTGACGGCCCACACAGACTCCCTGCATCAGACGCAACACAGCAACCTCCCACGCTCCATGATGGCAGAACTGTTCCCCTTTGGGTGACATCCTTGTATCAGACTGGTTGATTTCTTGCTGGAGAAGAACATTTGTGGTTATGTCTGGCGTCTGCTCTTTGCACGCATGTATCTGTGTGAGTGTTGAGTTGAGTGACCAACTGCTTCCTTATTTTTAAGCAACAAGAACACAAGGCTAGACCGATGGCTCAACTGGAGTCACTGAGGGACTGATGTGACCGCTGACGCGTAAAAGACTTGAGAAAGAGTCTTTTGGTTTGACTTGTTAAGCCATAGAGGCTCAGTTTGGGCCTTCCCACTTCCTCTTCTCTCATTGCTGACAGACGGTAACAAGACCGGATCACTACGTTTCTCAGCTGAACCTTCAGAGATCCCAGGCTCAGATCCTGCTTCTTCCTAACAGAACATGTTCTGTGATGAGACCAGTTTGTAGATTATTAACTTGATGCTGTAAGCAGAATCAAAATACAGGTAGTTCATCTTGTTCTTGGTGTAGTTTCTGTGTGCATCACTGAGATGTCACATGGCTCAAAACAAAACTTCAGTCTAAATTTAGTTTGAGGTTTAATGCACAAAGACATCAGCATCAACTAACGGGCTGCTGGGACATTTTTTAATCTCTCTGTTGATCTCAGAACTTAAAAAAAAAGAAAGAAATCAATCTTAAAGGTGGTCGTGCTAAAGCGTTGAAACACCCTTATTGTTCAAAGCTTGTGACCGTTTTCACGCCACACAGCACGAGAAAAGAAACGGGTCAGTTTTACATCAAATAGGTTGCTGGGACCGTTGATAGTGGCACATGTTTAACATGGACAAATTTCAGAAAAACTGTGAAAGGTTTGTCCATTCATAACAATAAGATTTAAAAAAGATTGAGAAAACCCAGTTGTGTTTGGAGCTCTGCAGATCAGACTTCACAGTAGAAACATTGTTCAAAGTTTAAATGGGTCAAAGAAAGTGGGATTTTACATGACTGAACTAATGTTATGATATATTTTATAGCTTTTACTCAACAGATGATAATGATCAGACTAACTTTTGAGCTGTCTAAACTTTCCAAAATTTTGCTAACAAACTCTTCTTACTCTCATACATAAAAAGTAATAGTCTTTTTTCACAGGGTGTGTCTCTCACTGCTACAAGACTTAAAGATTTATACTTTGTCAGACATGCTGAAATGTGTTTTTACTGACGTGATTGTGTGCCAGTTGCGTCTTCGTTCTTCCACCGCCCACAAGAACTTGTTCTGAGCACAAGTGGTTGACAGAACTTTTGTCTCGCAGGCGTGTGCGCCAAGTGGTGTGTGATTGGTCAGAACTTTGTGGGCGTGTTTATGCGGAAAAGAGGCTGAGCCACTGAGGAGCAGCTGGCCAAGGCTGTTAGAAAACAGCCATTTTTATGTGGCAGTTCCAGAAAAACTTACAAAGATAGTCAAATGCATTAAAGATAATAAAAATAAAGATAAAAAGTCAAATAACGCGTGGAATGAGATAGAACAATCTTGTGCATAGAGAAGACATTATGGAGAAACTCTGGGCTGACTGGGAGAGAAGGCACCTGGGCTGGTAAGCGTAGGGACATGTTCCCATTTCAGTAGGAAATGGTGGAAGTCTTTTCGTGACAAATTTACAAATTAGTGCTCTTCCTCAGATGACAACAGAAATATCAGCTCGTCCTCCACTAACTCCTCTATCATCAACTGAAAATAAACCGTCCTGTCTCTGTGACGTGGCCTGCAGTGGGTGGGCTTACTAGGAGTTCTGACTGACATTTCTGTTTGGAAGATAAAATGTCCATTTGAAGAACAACGTTTCACGATGACGCGGGCGAGAACAGATTTTGGCTCTTCTGATGGAGTATAAATCAGCCTTTACAGTTTCCTCTCAAATCCTCTCAGAATGTGGAGAGTGTACAGCTGAGCTCCACACTTTGGTTATGTTTGAGCTTAAAATATTTTCTTTAAAACTGGAAGAGAAGAGCGTTTTTAACATCCCATCTCCTACATTAAACACGGTAGGAATAAAACACAGCAGAAACAAAGTTCACGTGTGACCATAGTTTGAGACTTACATTTTAGTTTTTGTTTCTGTCTGCTGCTTAAGAGTGCTGTTACAGAGTGAGAGACACAGATACAGTATGTGGTTACCATGGTGACCTTCATGAGAAACTAGCAGCACTTCCAGTCTTGGTTCTCTTTAGCCACATCGACACCCTTCAACATGTATTTTGAAATGTTGGGATTTGTTGTTGTTGTTTTTGTGTATCTCTCCTCATCTTGATGCATCTTGTCTGCTGTCTGCTATGGATATATTGGGGTATTCCTTAGATAGAGAACTTTACTAATTGGCTTTTATGTATGTGAATGTTCCTGTAAAGTGCCCTGAGACAACTTTGTTGTGATTTGGCGCTATATAAATAAACTGAATTGAATTGTGTCACTGTCTGTGGCTGTAAATGCATTAAACCTTCACTTTGAAGCAGTCTTCCATCCTGCATAAGTGCAGTGTGGAAGGAGACAGTGGAGAGAAACGACTCCATTTAAACAGGAAGAAACTTCCAGCACAGCCAGAGCCAGAACCAGGACGGGCAGTCATCTGCCTAGACGACAGGCAGTGTAAACATATTAGGTGTCACAATAATATTAGTCGTATTAGTTGGCACAGATGTGGCTTGGTGCAATGTTGTTGCCAGTTGTTCAGTTTTATTTATCAAGAGTTCAGTAATCTAACAGCTTGTGGATAATAACTGTCCTTTAGTCTTTGTGTACGTGATGGCAGACTCCTGCATCGTCTGCCTGAGGGTAGTAGACACAAAAGTCCTTGTGCTGGGTGGGTGTGGTCCTTAAAGATGCTGCGTGCTTTACGCAGATCAGCTGTGGTAGATGTCCTGGATGGTGTGGAGACAGCTACCAGTGATGTCCTCTGTTGTTTGCACCACCCTCTGTAGAGCTTTCTGACTGGTGCAGTTCATGTACCACCCTGTGATGCAGCCTGTCAGCAGGATCTCCATGATGCACCTATAGAAGTTGGTGAGGATGCTGGTGTTCGAGGATGCCGGTGTTTGTACCCAACATCTTTAGTCTTCTTAGTAAGCAGAGTCTTTGTCAAGCTTTCTTGACCACAGTGTCTGTCTGTAAAGTCCAGGACAAATCCTCAGTAACGTGAACGCCGAGGAACTTGAAGCTGCTGACCTGCTCCACCTCAGCATTGTTTATGTTGATGGTGGAGTGCTGACCTCCACGCTGTTTCTTGAAGTCCACTATCATCTCCTTTGTTTTGCTGACATTTAGAGAGAGAGGTTATTTTCCTGACACCAGCTGGTCAGTGATTTCACCTCATCTCTGTAGGCACTCTCATTGCTGTTGGTGATGAGGCCCAAGATGGTGGTGTCATCAGCATACTTGAGGATGACGTTAGAGCTGTGCTTGGCGGTACAGTCATGTGTAAATAGTGAGTACAGGAGTGGACTGAGGACACAGCCTTGAGGTGTACCGGTACTGAGAACTAGTGTGGAGGAGAGGTGACTGCCAATTCACTGCCTGTGGTCTGTTGGTGAGGAAGTCCAGTAGATGGACTTCTTCAGGCCCAGTGTGGTGAGCTTGGAAACCAGCTTAGAGGGGATTATGGTGTTGAATACTGAGCTGTAGTCAATGAAGAGCATTCTCACATACTGTGAGTGTTGACCTTCTCCAGATGGCTGAAGGAGGTGTGAGCTGCTAAAGCAGTAGCATCTGTAAACCTGTTTGAAGTTGTAATATCAAACACACCAGCTGTTTGGCAGCTAAAATCACTCACCAATGATCTCACTGGTTCTCTAAAGAACCAGAGGGGTCCCTCTGGTTCTGTAGAGCCCCCCCCCCCCCCCCCCAATTTGTTTTAATGAGTCATTATCTTAAAGAATTATCGCCTCATTAAACACTCATTTCATTCTAAACCCATGTTTGAAGCATCAGCAGGCACACACAACAATCCTGTCTGTCCCCTCACTGCTTCTGCCTCCCCTTCATCACAGTCCGAGGGGGCGGGGGGCCAGGACACATGGCTGCATACCATCGCTCAGCATCGTCGTCACTGCTGATGCATCTGTGAAAGAGCAGCGGAGGACAAAAGGCATCAACAGCGCAGAGCCGGCAGAGAGAGTGACCACCATGACCTCACGGGTCAGATGAAGCCAGGAATGAAAAGACTCCCAGCTACAACGCCCCCCCCCCCTCCCCCCAATCCAACAAATACACAAGCAGCAAGCTCTCGGACGGCTGGAGCTGCCATGGGAGCAAGGAAGAGGAGAGGACTCAGCGCTGGCCTGCAGGAGCTGAAAGAAAGTGGCTGTTTGGGATTTTAGGACAAGCTTTTCTTTGCACATTCCTCACTTTGCTCCGAACAATGAAGTGTCAGAGTCGATGGGACGGCCGTCATTCTGCTCACCTCGCACCAAACTATCTCCTCCTGGAACAACCAGTCACTTTAAATAATGAAAGGATGAACAAACGGTACAATCAAAGCTAAAGAGATGGTTTTTATTTAGCAGCTTCATTTCACACAAATATTTCTTCCAAGAAAAGTTTTTTTTTTTTTTTTACTTTAAAGCATTTTAACTATTCCAGTTTAAACTGAGGAAACTTCTCAAATGTGGAAAAACAAAACCCGTCTCCAACAAGAGCAGCAGTCCAGTAGTCTTAAAAAAACGGATTTATTTTTTACCAAATAGGAAGTGTGTAAACTGGGAATGTCACTTTTTTCCTTTTTGTTTTAGAAAACTTGAACTTGGGTTGAAAACAGAAAATAGGATTTGAGTCATCTTGTGTCCACTGGTCTCAAAAGTTTTTGTTGCACATTTCTACTTGTTGGGGGGCTGGCAGGAGAAACATTATGCATGCAGAAAAGAAACTAACTAAAGGTTCTTCATTTTGTACATAAACAGAACATGTAAAAATAAATAAATAACTTAAAATAAGACACACAAACTAACTTGTGTGAAAGTTCATTGGTGTTTGCAGCCGGTTCTCTTTGGTCTCCATCTTTGGCTCTTGGGAGCTGCTTGCCGTTTCCTTTGGCACGTTTGTTTCGAGTCATTGTTTCAGTCTTTAGTTCAGTTCTTTGGGAAGCTGCAGCCAACAGCTCTGCGTGCTGCTCACAGTTTGCTCTCTTCCTCCTCCAGCGGTCGATTCAAGCCGGGAATGAATTTAAGGAGGCGTCTGCGGAAGCTCTTCTGTTTGGGTTTTCGTTGCAGCGAGCTGAATCCTCCCGGTTTCTCTCCTGAGCCGGCGGATGACGATGGAGACGAACCTCTCATGTAGCTGCGAGTGCTGGCGCTGCGGGTCAGCTGAGTCTTGGTCACTGTGAGGAGCTCACTGGTCGGTCGCAGGCGCTGCAGCCTCTGCTTTTCTTGACTTTTCTCAGGAATCCCAGAGTCCTCGCTCCCGTTAGCCTGGTACAGGCAGGTTTGGTAGAGGGGGTCGTCGTCCGTGGCCGTGCTGAGGAAGCTGGCGCTGCTGCTGGTGCTGCCGGTGCAGCGGATGGTTCTTTGAGTCGCCGGGCTGGGAGCGCCAAGGCTGCCGTAGAGACCAGCTGACTCGAGGGACTCGTACACAGCAGCATCGCTCATCACTATGCCTGGAAACAAACAAACGGTGTGAGTACTGGAGAGGACTGAACAAGTATTATGCTAAACTTATTAGTTGCATTTTAATCTTGTAAATTCAAAATGCAAGACAAAAAAAGGTTTTAGATTTGGAAACTCTACAAATAGCAAAGGCCTAGTACTCATTAAATAAAGGATTCACCTGTCCCCTCTCAGTTTGAAGCTAGAATGACAGCGTCATGCACCACGCCATGCAAGATCACGCGCTCTTGCACGATGTGGAGCACTTTGAGGAGGAGCTGGGGATTCTCAGCTACTACCACACCAACATCAGCTCCGTGTTCATAGAAGTGCAGAGTTATAGCTATTGATCTGTTAGAGATGCTTATCTGTGGCTGCTCTGGTTAATGGAGCCGACTCCAAAACATTATCCAGGAATTAGTTTCTAAAGGTTTGAAATAAAACTGGTCCAGTTGTTTATCAGATATTTTGCTTACAAACAAACAAATTTACACACATTATCAGATAAACAACCATTCACATGAAGGGAATATTTAGTTACCAGTTAATCTAACGTGCATGTTTTTGCTCAGTGGGGGGAAACTGGAGTATCCGGAGAAAATCCACGCGTGCACAGGGAGATCATGTAAACGCCACGGGAAGGTCCCCGGCAGGAGACAAACCTGCAAACTTGTTGCTGTGAAGCAACAGCGCTGTGTGCGCACCCTTACCATACAAGATTTTAATCATCTTTAATCTATAAACTGCTGCACTGCAGTAACTGTATTCATCTCAACAAGCTTGAACACTCTTCCAACGTTCACGAGGACTGAATGCTAACACGACGACACTGTGGGTTTGAGATCACAACAGGAGATCTTTTTGTCAACTACTTTGATCTGGTCAACAGAAATGAACAATGTTCAAAGCTCCAGGATTTAAATGATGGACCTTCTAGCACTTTATTATTTAAACCTTGATCTTTAGCCATCACCTCCTCTGAGGAAGCATAAACAGAAAGTTATTGTTCAAATGAAACTCTATTAAAGAACAAAACATGAAAGTAGAGTTAGACCCGATTTAAACATTTTTCTAATAAGACTAATCTAAACCAAACAGTAAGATAACAACATTGCATTAGGATCTTTAAAGTTTAATGACTTTAAAAATGACTCGTGTCTAATGATTCTAACCTTTTCACATCTCTTTGAGCCTAAAATAAAATACCCTCCAGTGTGTCTAAGGACAGCCGAGATGACCTACCATGGACGAGTCTCTGCTCCTGCACCATTAACGAACGATACTCGTCCCACTTCTCATAAAGAGTTTGCTGCAAACAAAAACAGAAAACAACATAAAAACAACTTTTCAGTGCAGCAAACACACTATACATGAAATAAAAGGGGCACAAGGACAAATATGAGAACCAGCTCCAGTCTGAGGTGGACATTAACGTGTCGGTGCTGGTGTGTGTGCAGCAGCTTCTGCTGCGCCGCAAACAGCAGGTTCATGTTTAAAATGTTGGATTAGTGTGTGAGAGGGCGGCTGTGTTTCAGAGGATTAGTGCGGGACAGCTGCTGTAATCTTTAGGGAGAGAAGTCGCTCGCTCCGGCCACTTCGCAGGCAGCTCCATCCTCCAGTCTGCTGCACAAACTGCTGATGCAACAGGTGGAGCTGATGGGGAGACAGGTGTGGAGGGAGGGGGAGGCGGTGTCTACACTTACTAAATAACATAATGTGTGTGTGTGTTGCACAGTTTATCAGTAAAAGCACTCCGTACAACAGGAAGAGAGAAGCGCTCACCTTCAAATACTGCAGCCGGGCCTCCAGCTCAGCTTTACGGATCGAGTCGCTGTAAACCGTCTCCAGCCTTCAAGAGAAACCAGGAGGCCACGGAGTTATTACACTCAACAGGAAGTACTTCTTAAAACCACGAGAACAAAAACAGCACTTCCACAGCATGAAAGAGTCTTTTCATAAGTCCGTTTACAAGCAGTGGGCAGGGAGAGGCAGCACAGTTTCCACCCTCACGCTGCTGATCCTTTGGAGTCATTAATGGAAAGCTGATTTTCACGCTCACAGTTTCAAGTTGTGTGAAGTCAGTCTGTAAAAGCTCTGCCAACACTGATACTCTGATATGTTAGCAGCGGCGGCCCTGAAAGCCACAGCCTGCCGGCGCTAATTGTCCCTTTAATCCTTTACAAGCAGAGACGAGGGCGAGGAAGAGTGCGTGGTTCAAAGTAAACGCCCGCTGAGCAAACTGCCAACAGAAACTGGAGCCATCGTAGGAAGAACTCTCCAACAAGTTCAGGAAATAAACTTTGAGATTCCAGAGAAATGAACCAACATACAAAGACAAACTATAAATACAAGCAAGCTGTAAAGAAAAACAAAACACTCGTTTTATGACGAGCGGACGTCCAGGTCAACACCGAGACCAGAGAGGAACAATGACACAAGCTTTATAAAGCTGATGTTCGTGCGTTTCCTTCAGTCACGGTGTTTTCAGGTCAAATTCAGCTCAAACAACATTTCTGATTTTTCTCTAAGACGCTTCAGAAGTTTCCACTTGTGCTCAGTTTGCAACAAAATGAGAAGTGAAACGTGAACTCACGAGCTCGGCCTCTTTGGCACTAGCTGAATGCAAACTAAAATGCAAAACTTGGAGCTTTAACACGTGTTCATCGAGTTAGCAGCCAGGGTGAACGAACACGTGAACCTGGAGTTACAGTGCACACCTCAGACCAACTCTCACAAACTTATTATCGACTTTACGTGTGAGGAAAAGACGCCCGTTTACCTCAGAGAGTTGCCGCATGCCTTGATGAGCTGGACAATGTCCTTGTGTCGAAATCCTTCCACAGTGGTGTCATTCACACTTGTGATGGTGTCCCCTGCACACACACATACACACACACACACACACACACACACAACATATGTTAGCCAGCCACCACAGTTCAGGATGCTCCGGTCCAGTGTGGCTGTTGTTACGTCCTGACGCAGCCAGCTGACGTGAGCCAAATGAAACCTCAACACATGTGAAACACAAATGTGCCGTCGTGGCGTTCGGCTCAGAAACACTTTATTTAGACCACGCATGTGCGTGCGCATGTGTGTGGTATGCAGCAGGAAGAGTAAAGTTGTTGATATTTTCTCGTCACTGGGTTTCTCTGGAGATTTGAAGCGATAATTTCTTCTTCTTCTTTCGGCTGCTCCCTTCATCAGGGGTCATCACAGTGAAGTAACTCACATGAAGACCTGATGATTGTTTTCACCGGAGGACCTTCCTGATGCAACCACGAGCTGCCACAGCCTCTGTGTGGAGCAGAGCTGCCATCCAGGGGAGCAGAGGGTGGGGTTAAGGTGGGGCAAATGAAGGTGGAGGCAGGTGGGGGTGTTTCAACTTTCCCACCCACATTTTGATGTTGTCAGTACAGGGAGTTGAACCAGCAACCTTCTGATCACAGCCCCACCTTTTATAACCTCTGTGTCACCACTCTCCCCACAAGACTCAAAGCAATAAATAAAACCCCTATTCTGAAAAAGTTGAGACGGTGTCTGCCTGTCCATCCATCCATCCATCCATCCATCCATCCATCCGTCCATCCATCCATCCATCCATCCATCCATCCATCCGTCCATCCATACCTTTACTATTATCGAGCTAACCTCTGTTCCATCCAAGAAATTGTTCCATTTTTAGGGAAAACATGTTGGAACAAGTTAAGTACAGACTGAAAGAACAAATGTTACAAATAAGAACAGCTGGAGGAGCGTTTTGTAACTAATCAAGTGAACTGGCAGCAGGCCAGAAAGAGGACTGGGTAAATGGATGATTTTAAGGAGACGACGTCAGCTAGAAGTAAAAATAGGCAGAGGTTCACCAGTCTGTTTTTATTTACACTTTAAAAAGGTCCCACGTTGTCAGATGTGTGTGTAGATGTGATGTGGACTCAAAGACTCGATCGTCTGTTTCAGGAACTCTTTGTGTTCGCAGCAACAATCGGAGGACAACAGGTGCAGCATGCCAGGAAAGCAAGAAGTGAAACTAGCTGTAAATGGAGCGGAGCGCTCTCGCTTCTCACGTCATTCATTTCTTTTTTTATCAAGCCCAAATAAAAGCAACATCCACACTGTAAACATGGAAGTGTTGTTCATTGCTTCCATTTAAATAAAGGAACCAAAAACAACTCTGATAAACAAAAACTACTTCTGTTTAATATATTCCTTCTGGCATGAAGAGCTGACGAACGCAGTGAGTCAGGTGAAGTTCATTTGTTTGTCAAGTGGAAAAATGCAGGTGTTTTCCTGAAGTTCTTCAGAAAGACAAACTCACGAGTGCTTCTGCTGACATAACGTGCACGGTGTCAGCTGATGAAGACTCACAGAGACGAGCCAACAGTCACGCTCACTTCCCTCATGTTTGCTTCAACCCTGGCACAGACACGGCTCAGGAGCGCACAAAAACAGACACGCATTAAAAAAGTATTATTTACTGACCAAGTTTGAGTCCTGCTCTCTGAGCCGGGCTGTCTTCGTGCACCTTGCACACAAACGTGCACATCTCCACAGAGTTTTGGTCCTGATGATGGAGACCATAAGTCTGAAACAGAGTGAGAACAGATTTTGAAGATAAATGTCTTCCTTCCTTTCTCTTGACGTCTAGGAATTACTTTGCACAACACAACTGATATCTGCTGTCCTCAAATGTTGTGGCAATGATGTGCAACGCAAAAATCAACAACACTGCATCATGTAGAGGAAGCCATGACGGTGTGTCAATGCTGGAAAGAAGCTTTTATCACAAAGCCCACAGAGATGTGACGCAAATAATGAGGCATGAGGTCTGTTTCCTGTTGTCTGAACAAACTGTCTGTTAATGTCCATAAACTGGTGGAGCTCAGGTAAGAACACAGAACCCACAGAGAACCTGCAGGTGTTGCTCTGTAAACTCACAAAGGCTACACTGGATTCATCTGACGACCAGCCGCTCATCGTACAGATGATCAGAACAATTTACAGCTGAAAATAGAGAAAAATCCATTAAATGTCTAACAGCTCACAGAAAATACTAAATTTATTTTATGAAGATAGAAAACAGAACAAAGCAGTCATTCCTGCTTGAAACAAGTGAAATTAGTTTGCAGTCAGAAGTTAAACACTCATTATGAATTTTATGCTTTTGATGATTTATTTGATACGTTCTTTTTCAGAGTAGATAGATTATAAAACAATTTAAAAGCTTTTTTAAAAACAAGAACGGAGAGTGCTCAAGCTCAAATTTATCACGAGTACTCTCCAGTAAACAAAGCGTCAAAATGATACAGGATCAAATACTATTCTAGGTCTGGGACATCTTTTAACTTGACAAGACCAATTAACATGCGGAAAGTGATTACGATCGACTGCAGCTGGTAGTTTCTCTTTTGACAGCATGCATGGGATTGACCAATAATCTGAATTCTGAAGAAAGTTTTTCTGATGAGACAAGAACCGAGCTGTTTGACTACAGTTGAATTATTATCATTATAGCATGGAAGAGTTAAACAAGTCATTAAAAACATTATGACAGCTTATCATCAGTGCATGTACCCGTCTATGTGCCGACACACTTTTCTTGTACAGGTGCTGGTCATAAAATTAGAATATCATGAAAAAGTTGATTTATTTCAGTAATTCCATTCAAAAAGTGAAACTTGTATATTCATTCATTACACTGATTGATATATTTCAAACGTTTATTTCTTTTAATGTTGATGATTATAACTGACAACTAATGAAAACCCCAAATGTATTATCTCAGAAAATAAGATTATTGTGGAAAACATTCAATATTGAAGACACCTGGTGCCACACTCTAATGAGCTAATTAACTCAAAACACCTGCAAAGGCCATTAAATGATCTCAGTTTAGTTATGTAAGCTACACAATCATGGGAAAAACTGCTGACTTGACAGTTGTCCAAAAGACGACCACCGACACCTTGCACAAGGAGGACAAGACACAAAAGGTCATTGCTAAAGAGGCTGGCTGTTCACAGAGCTCTGTGTCCAAGCACATTAATAGAGAGGTGAAGGGAAGGAAAAGATGTGGTAGAAAAAAGTGTACAAGCAATATGGATAACCACACCCTGGAGAGGATGGTGAAACAAAACCCATTCCAAAATGTGGAGGATATTCACAAAGAGTGAACTGCAGCTAGAGTCAGTGCTTCAAGAACCACCACACTCAGACGTATGCAAGACGTGGGTTTCAGCTGTTGCATTCCTTGTGTCAAGCCACTCTTGAACAAGAGACAGCATCAGAACTGTCTCGCCTGGGACTGCTGCTGAGTGATCCAAAGTTATGTTCTCTGATGAAAGTACATTTAGCATTTCCTTTGGAAATCAAGGTCCCAGAGTCTGGAGGAAGAGAGGAGAGGCACAGAATCCACGTTGTTTGAGGTCCAGTGTCAAGTTTCCACAGTCAGTGATGGTTTGGGGTGACATGTCATCTGCTGGTGTTGGTCCACTGTGTTTTCTGAGGTCCAAAGTCAATGCAGCCATCTACCAGGAAGTTTTAGAGCACCTCATGCTTCCTGCTGCTGACCAACTTTATGGAGATGCAGATTTCATTTTCCAACAGGACTTGGCACCTGCACACAGTGCCAAAGTTACCAGTATCTGGTTTAAGGACCATGGTATCCCTGTTCTTAACTGGCCAGCAAACTCACCTGACCCTAACCCCATAGAAAATCTATGGAGTATGGTGAAGAGGAAGATGTGATACACCAGAGCCAACAATTCAGAAGAGCTGAAGGCCACTATCAGAGCAACCTGTGCTCTCATAACACCTGAGCAGTACCACAGACTGATCCACTCCATGTCACGCTGCATCGCTGCAGTAATCCAGACAAAAGGAGCAACAACTAAGTATTGATGTTCATACTTTTCATGTTCATACTTTAAAGTTGGCCAACATTTCTAAAAATCCCTTTTTAAATTAGTCTTAAGTAATGTTCTAATTTTCTGAGATACTGAATTTGTGGTTTTCATTAGTTGTCAATTTTAATCATCAACATAAAAAAATAAAAACAAAACATTTGAAATATATCAGTTTGTGTGTAATGAATGAATATAATTTACAAGTTTCACTTTTTGAATGGAGTTACTGAAATAAATCAACTTTTTCATGATTTTCTAATTTTATGACCAGCACCTGTATTTGACAATTTGACCTAAAAGATCTGTGTACTTTCTTGCTCAAAGAACGGTGCTAACATTTTGTTGCCTTGGAAACGTGTTTTGTTACTTCCACATGTGCGTTTGCGTGCTCTTCCTTGTTTTGGTCACTGCAGCGTGTCTGCAAAAAGGTCAAAGTGCTGGTAGGACATAAATAAACTTCCCTCTTTATGTGGAAGTTTCAACCCGTCAGCATCCCGCTTAGAAGAAAACTAAACTTGTGGCTGTAGCAACAACAAAAAGCTAAAACGATCGATTTGATTTCCAAAACGGCAGAGACGTCAACCTTCCCTGCTTTTAACGGCAGATCCAGTTTATGAAGGAGCGCCAAATGGAAGTTTGCAACGATTTTGATCTGCCTGGGTTCGACCACGCAAATATGGTTGATAGGCAAATGTGACATTTACATGCTGGAGCCTCAGCTCCACGTCCGCTTTACTGCAGCTGGGAGAGGAAAAGCTGCAGGAAGAGGGACGCTCCACACTTACGGCCGACCATCAGGCTGCTCCTCACGGCCTCACTTCCTTCGGGCCGCAGGCAGGAAGGGCGGCAGCGCCAGAAACGATGGCGTAAATAGAACACCGCGTCTTTTCCAAGAAGTGCTCCGCTCCGATCTGCACACCAGCACACTGCGTGAGCCTCGTTTTAAACTCGCACGCATTAACTGTTTGGACAAACTGCTGAATGACGGAGGGGACGGCGTGAGGAGGAGCTTCAGGAGGAATCAGAGACATCTGTGTTAATCTGGGGGGGTGAGAGGGGAGCAGGTACTAGATGGAAAGCGTGAGAGTAAACCACGCAGCTGAAAATACCAATGCTGGAGGGAGAACAAACAAAACCATCCCCTTTTTCTCCCCGAGTCATGGGATTAAATGAACGGGTTATTTGACTGCTGGGTGACCTTCCTCTCCTGCTGGAACAGGAAACACTCAGATTAAGATGAAGGCAAGAAAGTGCCTGTTTCTGTCCCTAACAGTGGTAGATTATCTGCTGTCAGACATGAGGCGTGCAAAAAAATCTGCTACTTGACAATGAAGAGGTTCTGTAAACTGCATATAATCTGAGTTAATCTTATTTACCTGGATCTCAAAGCCAAACGTCTCCTCTTCTTTTTTCTCCAGGAACGCCACCTGCCTGAATAAAAACATAACGTTGGAGTTTGACCACGTCTTCTCTGAGTTCGTCTGAGGGAGTGGAAAAGATGAGTCTGCATCTAATCTGATGGCAGATATCTGATCAACAAGTTATATTTTTTACTGAACTGCAGCTGGTCGCAGGTTTTACATGGACACTTGGCAACACACATGAAATAACCTGCAGCTGTTTGGACAACTCGGTCATTTCCAACTTGAAAAAGTCATCGTTTGTCAGCTTCTCTAACTTATTTGCACACTGACGTTTTGCGTTGTGTACAGACGGTGTAAGCAGAGACGCTGCAGACTCTAATCTGCCTGCAGACTCTAATCTGCCTGCAGACGGCACATCTCACTGCCTATATAAACAGAAAATAAACAAACATTAGCCGTGTTTCCAGGTGAACTTTAACGTTGCCGTCGTCCCACAAGCTGAAAACTGAGCTCTGCAGAGTTCACGCTGCAACAATCCCACAAAAGTTGCTCCTTCTATCCAGACTCTTTCTTTCCTCGTGAACATATCCAGAGTTAAAGGCTTCACAAATCCACCGCTGCCTTCCAAACCAGAGTCAGGGCTAAGATCATCTTAAAGAGAAAATAAGAAGTTGTGTAGAAAAGAACGCTACGAGTGATCCAACTGATGGTCAGTCAGGTCATCTGGACGGTTTATTTTTTGGGGAAAGACGTTTCGCCCTCTATCCGGAGGACTTCATCAGTCTGAGGAGTCCCAAGTAAACAGTTTTCCCCATTAAGCAGTACACTCCTTAAGTGGACCAACCAGTTTGCCAACCAGGGGAAAACAGTTTACATGGGACTCCTCAGACTGATGAAGCCCTCTGGATAGAGAGCGAAACATCTTTCCACAAAAAAATAAACCATCCAGACGACCTGATTGGCCATTACTGGATTTTGTACCTGGATGAATGAGCATGAACTTTGAATTATCTCGTGTCAAAATCTGTCTGTTATTTTTATGATGACGCAAAGATGAGCTCCATAATTGTAAAACTGTCTTTAAAAAAAAAAAATCATTTCCCAATTTAGCTTGTTGGGGCCCATCTTGAACTGGCCCCTAAAGTAAATCAATTATAGATGAACGTCCGATGATTCTGAAAGTTTTAATTAAAATCAGTCCAGTGGCTCATGAGATATTTAAATAAACACAATCTACACTCGACTTGTGGCCGTCAAAGATCAACCACGACACAACTTTGCGCGTCATTTTTGAACGTCTGCAGGTTGGACCCAACAGAAAGTTCAAAGAAAACATTCGACATCTGTTCAATTGAACGACTGATAATCTTAAAGTCTGCTCAGAATTATTGAACGGCTTCAGATAAATGGAGAATAAAACAACGAGGAGCTGAAATCTACAGAAAACTAACATGGATCCTCATCTATTCATGAACCTTTATTTAACCAAACCCGTCCCACTGAGGTCACAGATCTCTTTTACAGGAGAGGTCTGGACCTGGAGGCAGCCTAACATGCATGTGTTTGGTCTGTGGGAGGAAACCCACGTAGCACGAGAAGAACATGCAAACTCCACACAGAAAGACCCCAGGTCCAACTGGGGATTGAACCCAGGACCTTCTTGCTGTGAGGCAACACAACAGCTCCAATCACTGATCCATCGTGCTGCCATCTAGCTGCACTATGTGAGATTCTGCTCTGTGGACAGGACTCAGTGTGTCCCCCAGAGTTTGGACGTCACAGACGGACACAGAACAATGATCTGTGAGACCGAAGGACGTCTGCACGGCAGAGGACATGAAAATTCATGACAACTCCATGAAGTCCCACACAGCCACGACTTTACCCACAAAGGATCGCAGTGTGGACGAGAGGGCCTCGCTGTCACACGAGGGGACATGTCGAGGTGAAAAGATTTGCATAGAGACAGAGAGACAGAGAGAGAGACAGAGATGGAGGGAGACAGAGAGAGAGAGACAGAGATGGAGAGAGACAGAGAGAGAGATGGAGAGAGACACAGAGAGACACAGACAGAGACACAGAGGCAGAGAGAGAGAGACGGAGAGAGAGACACAGAGACAGAGACAGAGAGAGAGACAGGACAACAAAGAGTTAGGTCTGCAGAGAGTAGTGGGATGCTGCTTGCACCTTTGTGGTTCTGGTGACGGTGTTAGGGGTTTCCACTTCTGCGAGCCGCCGCCCTGCGAGGAGAAAACGAAACAGACATGAAGCGTTTCAGACACTTGCGTGAGGTTAGTGCAGGATCAGTCATCAGGGCTCCCCCCACCCCGCTCCTCAACATCTCCTGGACACACCTGCTGCACACAAAGACCGGCCCAGCAGGTTTTAGAATAGCAGACGCGTGCCAGGCAGCTTGTTTTGATTTTAAAGCCATTACGTCTGTGAACTGAACGTCTGGCTTCTGTTTGTTCACCTCAAGTGAGGAATGAAGACCAGAAGAACGGAGCCTGAACTGACAGTAAACCAGCTGAAGCGCTCCAACCTCTCTGAGCAACGTTTTGAGCCGTTCACACAAACTCCAGTCTATTAAAAGAAACACACAGGACTCTGTGGTGAACTCCACAATAACAGCATTGAGAGGTGGAGAGGAGTCAGCAGCGGGTCAGGCCCCTGCCCAACCTGACTGTGTAAATAAAAAGAAAGGTGTCCGTCCAGACGCCTCGGCTGCATCACCTGCATCAATCCACCTCTGTTCCAAGTCAATCATTTTCAAATGCTGCTCCCATAAAAGCCATCTTTGTGCTGCGGCCTCTCTGCCTGCTAAAACGCCGCTTTCTTTACGTCCCAACACTGAGAGCATTTATTCCCAGTGACCCACTGGGTCTGACGGGGGCGTCTGGACAGGGTCTCGGCTCCTGAGAGCGCACAATGCTGTGTTGTAGCCCCTCACTGTTAATACTGCAAACTGCTAATGTGTGGGTTTGTCCACAACGATGCCTCTCTGCTGAACACTGTACGTCCTGCTCGCTGCCTCCCCCACCACAGGGGGGGGGGAGGCAGCGAGCACAAGTTTGAGCCAGTTCACTTCACTGTACAAAGCTCAAACTTAAAAATGGGGATTAAATTAGGTTTATTGGAGAAAAACCAGCCGGATTGAGCAACACGACAAAAACTAAAGTTAGAGCCACTCTTGAGCTCTTGTCTTAAAGATCACTTCAGGTTGTGTTAATGCACGAAACACCTTTTCACACAAAACTAAATAAATGTATTCATAATGATGGGATTTTGACGGAGCTCTGTGAACATCATTCAAAGTTTGAACGGGACAGAAATTTGGACTTTCAATGACTGAACTGGCATTTGGATGTTTTGAAGAATTTTTCTACACATTCATGATTTTTATGACTTTGGGTGATTTTATTACAGGATGTTGACCCAAATGGTAACACTCACTTGGAGTTGTCTAAACTTTAAAATACCTTTGCAAACAAACTTTTCTTTGGTTAGTACAAGTTGTACACCAATATTTCTGTGTTCTTTCACTCACTGCGTCTCTATTAAAGCTTTAGGACTTTTGGTTTTCTCTTAAATCCCCTCAGAGAGTGCACAACCCAACTGGGATGGACTTTTTTTAAACTTGTCCTAGAATAAAACATTGCAGAAACACAAAAGTTCATGGACTCGACCAGTTTTTTACTGCTGGCGGTTCAAGAAATGTGTTTTTGAGGCTTACTTTTTAGTCTGCCAGGGAGTGAGAGACACAGGTGTTGTTGCCATGGTGACCACAATGAGACACTGACTGAATGCAGCTCAAATAAAGTTTAAAGGCATGACTTGTATTTTCTTAGATCGTTACCAAGTTATTTGGGATTTGGGGCAGATGTCACATTTTTCAGCAGAAACACGAGGACAGTCCTGATGAAGTTCTGCGGGGTCAGAGTCCTGGTCCCGGTTTGTCCTGTAGCTCTAACTCGTCCAATATTCAAGATAAGCAGAAAGTTGGTCTCACCTTCTTGTAGGTTCTGGGCAGCGTCCCGCCAGAATAAGCCAGAGTTCTGTAGTTGTAAACCTGCGAGGAGCTGGCCGGTCCCTCCAGTTTACAGCTGTCAGACTTGGACGAAGAGAAATAAATGTCGTAGTCCTGAGATGCGGGTCCGGCGGGTCCAGCCTCCGGAGCGCTGGAGTTCACCTTCTTGAGCCTCCTGAACGTCATTGTTGTGGGGAGATGAAAAGCAAAGCTCCTCGCTGTTCTCTGAGCTCGGCCCTGCTGGGAGCTGTCCCGACGCGCTCCAGAGTTTCTGCCTCGACGTGGAGGAGAGAACTGAGCGTCGCCTTCATCCTGCCGGGGGGCGGGGCCTGCGCTGTGAGTGACACCAGGGCCAATCTGGTGCCTTCAGGTGCAGCTCGGACATTTCATGTTTGTTATACTCCGGAGAAGTTGGAGAACAGTGAAGCAAAATCAACAATAATGCTATAATAGTTTCAACTGACATATAAAACAATATACTATATAGAGGAAAAAAAGGTGAGCGAATTTACAAATAATTATTAAAAGTGAATTGTATTATCAAATGACTTCGGGAGTGGTGGCACACAGGTTATTTTATTAACCTTTTATTTAACCAGGCAAATCCCATTGAGAGCACAGATCTATTTTGCAAGAGAGCCCTGAAGGCAGCCTAACATGCATGTTTTTGATCTGTGGGAGGAAACCCACGCAAGCACGACAAGAACATGCAAACTCCACACAGAAAGACCCCAGGTCCAACTGGGGATTGGACCCAGGACCTTCTTGCTGTGAGGCAACAGTGCTAACCACTGAGCCCTCGTGCTGCCAGTGCTATGGCAGGCACTGCTTCCAGGTTAGAGAAGGTGGCCCTGTGATCGGAAGATCGCTGGTTCAACTCCTGGTACTGACAACATCAAAAATGTGGGTGGGAAAGGTGAAGCACTCACACCTGTCTCCACCCTCATTTGCCCCACTCTGGGCCCTTGAGCAAGGCCCTTAACCCCCCACCACCTGCTCCCCTGGGCTCCCTAGAAAGCAGCTCTCTGCTCCACACAGAGGGCTGTGGTAGCTCGGTGTCTGTGGATGTGTCAGGAAGGACATCTGGTGTAAAAATAATCGCCAAGTCTTCGTGCGACTTAGTTCACTGTGGAGACCCCCGAAGAAGGGAGCAGCCGAAAGAAGAAAAGAAAAAAATTATCAAATGACTTATTTAAGAAAAATCAAGAGATCTCATAAAAGAAAATATAATAAACTAATTTTATTGTTTCTTCTTCTTTTGGCTGCTCCCTTCTTCAGGGGTCTCCACAGAAAAATAACTTGCACGAAGACTTGGCAAAAGTTTTGACTTCAGATGTCCTTCCTGACAGACCACAGCCACCGAGCTACCACAGCCCTCTGTGTGGAGCAGAGCTGCCATCTAGGGTGCCCAGGGGTTAAGGGCCTTGCTCAAGGGCCCAGAGTGGGGTAAATGAGGGTGGAGGCAGGTGTGGGTTTCACCTTTTCCGCTCACATTTTGATGTTGTTGGGATCCGGCGACCTTCCAATCACAGGCCCACCTTCTCTAACCTCTGCACCACCACTCCCCCTTCTTATTATTAATATAAAGCATCTAAAACGTTCATATTTGATGGGAACACGATGATTACTTGTAATGTGATGCAGTTCATCAATAACTAATTTCTGATCATGAAAAAAGTAGCTGCCTACGTTTGTAGGAAAATCTTTCACTTTACATAATTTAGCAATAAAACAGATTAAAGTATAAATATGTGATGTGAATGTGGGACTAATCAATCATTTTAAATAATTTACAGATCGTCTTGTTGCTTTAACGCTTCCAAAGGCTGATCCCAGTTTTTTAAAATGTTTTGTTGTTTTTGAATGAACATGTTGGATCTGATCGATGCTCCAGCACTCATGTTCAAGCAGTGCTCCTTCTTTTCATTCACGATTAAAGCCGTCTCACTTGTTCCTAGATCCACCTACGTTTAACATCTGTGAACGACCCAACGTCTGTTGAGGAAGTTTGTTCACTCGACATTTTTCTGCCAACGTATAAAGAAAAGATGTTTTCTGAAGATCAATCTATAACTTATTGTCAAAGGTCAAACGAACATCAAAGGCTGAGCAGTAAATTTAGAAGTGTCAGTGGCTTCAGATTTAAAAGGTAATCATGCACCCTTGAGGTAAAACTGAATTCTTTACAGCAGAAACAATCTGTTAAAATGAGTGAAACAGAATCGAAGTCCAGACAGTTTATTAAAATCTTTACCAGTTATTTCAGAAATATTACATTTACAACCTCATGATATATTGAAATGATAAGACTAGTAAAGCATTTAAATTAAACTACATACATGAGAATAAATAGTCGGAGCCGATACATTGAATCTTGTCAAATTGAGTCAGAGCTGAACGTGCACCAACTTTAAATGCTGTCAGAAGAGTTCCTCTCTGCATTCAGTCAAACACAAAACCTTAATTTGGTCCACAGGACGAAGACTTGGGTAAAAACGGAGACAGCACGACGGTCGCTGCAGGCCCTAAACACTTTCAAGTATCTTCTGAAGTAAGTACTAACAGGTCAAACACCTTCAGCTTCTGTTTACTCGTTCCCGTTCTTCGTTTGTTTTTAACGTACTGTATATTTGGCTTTCAGAGCAGCATATTTACAGCCACAACAAATCATCAATACTACATGGTCTCTGCTCAAAGTGCACACACACGAGCTCTGAATGTCTTCTACATCAACAAAGACGATAGATTATGAAGGCACATGAAGCCAGATATTTGTACTGTGTATTTCTACACCAACGTCAGATATCAGTGAAGGATACTTCATTCTAACTTTACATGAGGTTTCTAAAGAGCAGCGCCTCCACTTCCTGTCAAGTCTTGAGACAGCAGCAGTGTAAATTAATGAAAACACTGAGATAGTTTGGTCAAAATCATTTTGGCCACGATGCAAACATTTCTTGTCATACAATGCCATGCATGCTAGAAATGTGTGCTATGGAGCCGTAAGATGCTTGAAAGGTTCTGTAATAATGTGGATACTCTACACCATACACTGATTCTATGATTAAAGTGTCAGTCTGTATACAGTGAGCTCGTGCACTCGGTCTGTGGGCTCTACTTGAAGAAACCTGAGGACTTGGCCTGTGGAGCCATCAACATACAGGCTTGGTTCTTGTGTGTGATGTGAATCTGAAAAGAAAATATGAGATGCAGATTATCCCGTGAGTCGCAACGATATCAAATCCAACATTTCAGTGGATTCACTGCGAACAGGAGGAAGCACTTGGATAGTAAAGCTGCCATGGGGTTTCTGTGCATGTGTTTTTACCGTGCAGGGGGGCTGCATCCACGGCTCTCCGTCGATCTGCATGGGTAATGCTTTCTTTGTCCTGCGTGTAAAGAGAAATTCACAAAATGAACCAGCAGCAAATGTGTGATTTCAATACAAAAAGGGTAAAAGCAGAGCGGTCTGGTTTGAGCACTGGTAACCAGTCTACATCAGGTACAAATCGTTAGCAGCACCGAGACCTGTCAAAACGTGTCCCGGCGGCTCTCTGTACCTGATGGTGATCTGGGAAGTTTTTGCAAGCCGCACAGCACTTTTGAGGCCGGTATAGATCTGTCCCATTTCCATGGCTCCTTCAAGGCCAACCACCTCCAGCCGACGATCACTGAGATCTGACAAACACAAACATGGAGTGAGGCCCCGTTATGGTCAGAAATGAGCTTCTCTTTGAGCAACAACTCAGTCATTTTAATCTGAGTTTACAGCATTTCATGAAACAACATTCCCCGAGTTTTCCCTGTGTGGAAAATGTGTAAGTCATTTTTCCAGGTTTTCCCAAATGTCCTTCCAGAGTTGCTGGAAACCTTGTTTATTCTGTACTGATTGTGAAATGAATGCAATTAAAAATAAAGGTTGTATGAATGAATTAAATACATTTTACACACTGCCTTCATAAATATGTTAAGTGCAAAGGTCTTCCTTTAAGTGCCATCCATCCATCCATCCATCCATCCATCCAATTAGCTTTCCAGCAATCACTGTGTGAGAGGTGGGGGACACCTTAGACAGGTCTCCAGTCCATCACAGGGACATATAGAGACAAACAACCATTCACTCTCTCACTCACACCTAGAGACAATTTAGAGTTACCAGTCAGTCTAAAATGCATGTTTTTGGTCTGTGGGAGGAAACTGGAGTACCCGGAGAAAACCCACGCATGCACGGAGAGAACATGCAAACTCCACCCAGAAAGGCCCCCAGCTGGGATTTGACCAGTGTAAACTGCTCATGAGAGCCATGATGGTTAGGTTATGATGGTCTTGTATTTAAAATGTGTTTAGATCAGGAGAACACAATCAGATCACAAAATGCTGAGTTACAAACACGTCTAAACGTGCTGGCTAACTGTGAGCTGAACTTCTGCTGTCTTTAAAGCTTGTTCTGTTGCCCTCAAGTGGACAAAAACATGAGTAAAAGCACATCGCCTCATCACAGGAGGGTTGGTTTCAATTATTCCGTAAGGTATTTCTGTAAAGTAGCCTTTTAGACATCTATTAAAACATGGGAGATTAATAGTTCTTCAACTTTGTTGAGCACTTCAATAAATAAACTAGAAAGTTCCTGGAGAAACTTTGACGGGGACTGCCAGGCTGCTGCCGATTTAAATTCTTGATTGAAAGTAATATGTGTTTGGGTTCGCTCTCAGCTACCTCTATACCAAATTTCAGCTGAATCGCTAAAAAAATGGGAGAGTTCTCTTTTTGTTTCTTTTATAGCTAAGTTGGCCATCTTGGATTTTTGATTTGCATTAGGAATGAACAACAAATCGCTCTCAGCTACAACCTTACTAAATTTCATCCCAATATATAAAAAAACAGATTTATAGTCAATTATGTGTTTGCTGAGGCTGCTGTGGCAGCCATCTTGAATCAAAATGGCTTCAAACGTTAATCAGTTTTAGAGATACATCTGCCAATTACGTTCTGCGAGTTTCAAACAAATCCAACACTGAGTTTCTGTTTCGTCTCTACACTCTTGGTCATGTGACTTGACAGCAGTTAGTGTGAGGAATGTTCTCATTCATTTCCTGTGGGAAAACATGGCGTCTTTGTTAGCAAAAAATGTCACCATGGTAACTACAACTGCCACCGGTCGTTTTGATAAAACTTTGTGGGGGTTCACATTGTGGTTCGTGCCACATTAACGTTGAAAACAAAGTAAGTTAACTGACACTCAGGAGAGTAGAATCAAGACTGCCTTTTAATTAACGTTATTATTATTATTAATAAATATTTAAATTAATAATTATTAACATTTATTATTAATAATGATCACTACTATTAATAGTGATTATTAGTATACATTATTGATTATTATTAATAATAAAATATTAATATTAATAATTTATGCTAATGTTAATTATCAATATAAATTATAATTTATATTGATATTAATAACTATTAACATTGTTAATTCATAATTAATGATAATAGGTTCCTTCCATGCACTGCATAATGCACTGCCTTCCTTGCATGTTGAACCAAAATGGCTCCATACGTTACTCAGTTTCTCTGAAGCGTTTTCTCCTATTCATTTCCTGTGGGAAATTTGGCATCTTTGTTAGCAAAATATGTCGCCATGGTAACTGCGAATGCCAATAAAAGTACTTGCACACTTCCTGGAGCCAGGCCGGTCATTTTGATATAACATTTGTGGGGGTCCACGTTGCGGTTTGGGCCGCAATAAAGTTGAAAAAGATACGTTTTTCAGGTGTAGAATAATAAGTGGGCAGTCACCAACTAGTTCCTGGAGTTGGTGGAAATATTGCGTCTCTGTTCACAACTTACGTCGCCATTGTAACTTGAAATGCCAATAAAAGTAATAGCACACATCACGGGGCCGAGCCGGTCGTTTTGATATAACTTTTGTGGGAGTAGACGTTGTGGTTCGGGCCGCATTAACGGAGATAGAAATGTAGACACACTTCCGAGGTGAAAAACAGCTTTGACAGGTTCTCACTACATGTATCATACTGTTCAAACACTGAAAACAACAAGTTTCTGTCACTACCTCTTAGTGTTCCCATATGTCTGCATAGTTGTTTTAAAAACTGCTCAAAATGTTTTTTTTGTTTATTTTTATAAAGTTTTCTTTTACTTCTCGGCTAAAGAGATATCTTACAGCTGGAAACTCGGAGCGCTCAGGGCCAGAATATGGTGAACAAAGAAGACAGATTTCAGTGTTTAGTTTGCAGCAGTTAAAGTTAAACAGTTTCTGATATCTACTTACTCTTTATGTACGTAACTGACACATGATGGGACAGCACCAGACATCAGCAGCTCGCTCATTGTACTCTTTTTAGGACGAGTGATAACTGATGTATTCACATAGGTGTTTATTTTGAGATTTTCTGAAATAAATTATGTGATGACGGTGAGGAAGACTCTGCAAAGCCTCTGGTGTGGTGTGTCTGCTGAGGAGTTTTCAGTTTTCACATGCAGCCAACAAAAGACAGGCCAGCTACCGTCTCAATTAGTCAGTACGTGGTTTTGTGTTGTGGCTGTGCAGTATGGTTAGTTTATGAGCTTTTAACCGATAACAGCTGCAAATCTGGATTTAGACTTTGCTAAAAAAAACAATCAACTAATGGGCTCTGCAGAGCTAAAAGGAACTTCCATATTAAACACACGTCACATGATGCGAAAAGGTTTAACTGCACCTTTTTATAGAGCTGAGGTCAGTGAAAACATACCTTGAGAAGTAATTTTCAGGACCTCTGGGTTGATGATCACCTCAGGCTCATCCTGACTTGTTAGCCCCTTAGTGTCCACTTTTTTGGTTTCACCCCAGAGGTTGGAGCCACCGTGCATGCTGGGAATGTTGAGGACAGCAACTCCTTCCAGAGAGAAGCCACTGAGGTCCAGAGGAGTGCCACAGCACTGGACAAAGTACAGTAAATCACAAAAAGAGAACAAAATCAGTAGTTAGCAGATGTTTTTTTAGAGGCTTGATTCTTAAAGACCGAACAAGCCGTTATAATTACCTCTATTGTTAAGCTTTCATTCAGTTTCTTGCAGGAAGCAGATATGGTTTCTGAAGTGGCAAATTCAAAATACCACAACTTGTTCTTCATTCTGCAGTTTCAAAAGAAGTGTATTTGAAGTTAAACTGGCAGGAACAGGAAACAGGAACATTTTGATAAAACTGAGGACTCTGAACTGAAACCAAGCCTTGCTGTGTGGAATGTGTCTGATTCTTTGGCTGCATTAGATGAAAACAAAATGAATCTGTTTTAATGAAGACACGTACCTGCTGTTAAATTTCTGAGGATGTTTCTCCCTCATTGTGTGAAAGCGATGAGCAATAGAGGCATCCTGTCAGAGCAGCACAACAAAGCAATGAGCCGTGCAGCTAACATTCCCACCAACTGAAAACAAACACTTCCCCTTGTGTGGCTGAGAAACTCACAACTCCTATTGAGAAGTAGTTGTTGATGATTTCATACGGCACTGGATCCCCCTTCTCCTGTATCTCATCTGATATCACATGCACGCTCCAGCGGTCCATGTGCACCTGGGAGCTGCCCTCGATGTCTTTAAGAATACGACCCAGGTCTTCTCCATCGTATCCTTTGGGTGGGAGAAGAAAATGTGACTGGGCTTGTTCATGTGCACAAATCTGAACTATGTCATTAATTTTATGTTCAAAGAAAACCTTCTCACCTCCACCCCAACGCAGACATCGTGCAAGGTCATTTCCTGTACCCAGAGGAAGTACAGCAACAGGTGGCCGTACCTGAAGGTTGGCTTTGTCTGAGTGCAATACATGGCAGAACACAAGAAAACAATAAGATGAGTTGGAATATTTTTATACATTTCAGAGAAACTGACCTGACAAGCTCACCTATAGCATCGAGAATCCAGCCAACTGTGCCGTCTCCACCGCATACCAAGATTCTGAAGTCCTCGAGGTGTCTGAAGAAGCTAAGTCTGAAACAGAGATCATGATGAGGACAGCACAATGAAACTGAGCTAAACAAGTTCTCAGGATTATGTGGTCTGAAACAACTCACCCTGGTCCAGGACCACCATTTGAAAGGGTGTACACCTGCCTTGGATTCAGTAAATACTGAAATTTACGCAGGACTCTGGAATGAGTAAGAGAGCAATTTGAACAATGTCCTCATATTGGAAAGATTGTGTTCTTAAATGTACTGTATTTTTCGCCTATAAGTCGTGTTTTGTTGCATAATTTACATGCCCTGAATCTTATACACCGAAGGGACAGATTTATGGATTTTTTCCCCATATTTATAAACCAATTTTTGGCAGAAATATGACCGTTTTCATTCATTCTGACTGAAAAAAAAGAGAACAGTGCCACTTTTAGCCACTAGATGGCAGCAGAGTAGTAGTAGTAGTAGTAAGGCATGCCATTGTATCATATTAATAGGTAAAAGTGGCTAAAATGACAAATTCAAAAAGTTGAAGACAAAAAACAACTGGACTTTATTTATTATACTTTCAGTGTTTCCCCTAGTTAGCTTGCCATGGCGGGGTGCTTATCTCATCCATGATTTTTGCTGATGGGGGGGACGGAGACATGTCTGAGCACAGCTTGTACTAACAATTTTTGAGAGGGGGCGGGGGGCGTTCAGCATGAGGGAAGAGGCAATGTGAGTGCTGCCTTGGGTTTTTTAGCTAGAGAGCTTGTATTTTATGCCGCTACCTTAGTGATACGTCAGTGCCGGTTGGGGGTGGGAGGGGCAAATTCAGTTTGGCGGGGTGCTCAGTTTTGTTGGCGGGGTGGGGCCTGTACAATGGTAGGGGAACCACTGACTTTATACTTTATAGATTTTTTCTTGAACTTTTTTGAATTTACCATGTCCTGGATGACTGAGAATCTTCACCAGCTATTAATGACACAATCAGCTTGCCATAACCTCCCACCTTCGTTCTGCTCGCTGCTTGGAGCAACCGTCAAACCAGCTGCGTTGCCCTGGCGAAATGCAGCTAATTTGACCATTAAAGTGCATTTATTAAGTAAAAGTTCAACTGAGACACACCTTTACTATGATTTCAAGCAAACAATTAATTGTTTTAGGTGTCTAGCTTGTTAAATTCTTGTTAAAGTCCTCCCGTGCACACTTCCACGGCCGCCATTTGGCAGCCCAGCAATTTTTGGCACAACACCGGCCCACATTTCTGGGATGTCAGCGGTGATGCGTAATAGATGCAACGTATACGGCGAAGCGACATATTTATAGATTTTTCTACTTTATTAGACATATTTGGACTGATGAGGCTAATAGGGCAGTGCGACGCGTACGGTGGAAAATACGGTAATCTTTCTGGACTCACCTTTCTCCCTGCTTCCCACCACTTTTAGGGTTGACAAACACTAGAAGAGGATGGGTATTTGGCACAGGGCTGATCTGTTGGCGTATAAACAACTTATAATCACGCTACTGGCAACAAACATAAATATAACTAATCTTCCAGTAGTCTATAGATGGTTATCAGCTCATTATGATAAGAACCCCACCTGCAGCACTTGTCCTTCAGGAGTAATGTTGAGGTCACTCTCATCCGTTGACCCTGAGCAGCCATTCTTCACATTGTTTGGTCTCTCCTTTTGGGTAAAAAAAAAAAACAAAAGCATATACTTGTAAGAAATAAATACATAACGTGACAGTCTAATAGCATTTTTTTTTTAATTTAAGGATAAGAAACAAACTACTCAATGTATCCATTAAAATGCAGCACGGAGGATGTGTTTATCAAAAACAAGACACAGCCCTGACTGACAGGTTCTGTGTTGGTGTGTGAGGCGCAGTTTGCACTGAGGATCATTTTGTACCTTTATAACAGGATATATTGCCCACGGAGGCAGGACATGGTCTCTGAGCGGTCCACAGGTACACTCTGTTGGCTCCTGGTCTGCACAGTCATCATGGCACTGAAAAACACAAACAGATGACATGTTACATCACACCTCACAGCAGTTGTGATTGACAGAATCTAAATGTATACGTAGGAATATATACGTTTTACACTTCTGCTGTCTTGGACGTTTAAAGCATTTAAAAGAACATTTTCATAACTTGAACACATCCAAACCCTTTCACACACTTTGATAAATAAAAACAGAATTTAAAACCCTGCAAGTCTTGTTCTATACACTGATTTTAAATAAATGTTCACTCCTGCCGGCCCAGATAAACCAACAGTTTTATATTTGGACCTTCAGCATGCAGATGGGTGTTGTGCTCATCCATGTTTTGTTCGGCTATGAGTTTAGGCATAAAAATATTTTTGGGGTTATCCAACAGCAAATGACCTCTTCGTTTGTAAATATGACCAAATATTTTGTCTTCTCACTTGAAAAGTGATCAGCTGGGTACATTATTTCAAAAACAGTCTCTAAATGTATATGACGCAGTGACACTACAATCTGTAAAACAAGAGTTCTGCTTTTTTACATCTTGTAGGTGCATTACATGTTTAAAAATAAAAACTAACACTGTAAGATGTTTCCTCACCATGGTGTGACACCACACACAGCGTTTGCCCGTTAAGCCTTGGAAGCTCTTGATCTTCTTTTGGCATCGATCACACTTTCTTGAATCGCAGTTCCCACTCACCCAGTCGTGCGTTGGAACCTGTAAAGTGGGACGCATGTTCTCATGTAAAGGTATTAAGAAGGATCAAATATAATTTAAACTCTGCATTTTACTGTGAAGACTGTTGTGGAGACACCAGCATACCCCAGTTTCTTTCTTTGACTTGACGTACGTCCTGGTACAAGGAGCTGGGTTCTTGTTAGCACAACGTCCATGAACTGTGTACTTGCAACCTGCACAGCAGTACACACAAATATCTAATTAAAATCTGTATCAAATGTGTAATTTGTAGGACAAAAATGGGTCATGAATATTTGACGTCCCTGCAGTGTCGCCCTCCTCTGGAGAGTTCAGGTACTCACAGGTGCAGCACAGGCCTTGCTTCCTCAAACCCAGCAGCATGCTCTGACACACGTTGCAGTACACGGGCGATTTAAAGTTTTTCAACCTCCAGAGGTGCTGCCCGTCCTTTTGGGTCATCTGATCATTGAAGGAAAAATCATTCATGGCAAGACAGGGAAAAACACAACAAGTCATAAAGTCCTGATGCATGCTCAATAATCCAGGTAGATAAATCTAACCAGGTCAGTTCAGACCGAAGAAGTCTTTTGGATAAAAGATGAAACGTTTCAACAAAGAAGAATCATCCAGAGGACCTGACTCCACCTGGTTAGATAACAAGTCATAGTTGATGTTCTTCAAACACATCTGTACTATGAATAGAACTTTCTGAAAGGTGGGCAATCATGTTTTTGCCAAACACATACTTTAAGTGTGACATCTGACGATATTGCATGAGATTTTAGTTATTTTGAAGGATTTGGCCAAAATAGCAATAACTCCATCCGTCTTCATTTTAAGATGATCTTAATTTTGGCGTGAAATGTTGCGAGTACTATGCTTTCCTTCCAGGAATGCTGTGCCTTTAATTAAATTTATAATCTTACCAAAACATTTTATGCATGTAGAGTGGCCTTTTGTTGCTGTTTTATTTCACCCATTCATGATTCATTTTGTCTGAATGAAGCTCACCCAGTGTGCTGTACTTAGTAACTCCACACATCAATGCCATTAATAGTGGACACCATCATGGAAACTCAAATTAAGCCTGATTAACATCTTCACCATTACAAGATTATAGGACAGGGCTGTGTGTTTGCAGAGCAACCGGTTCCCTCACACAGAATAAACACAAAAATGCTTTTTTATGACGTGACGTATAATGCCTGCCTCTCTCCAGCTGCATGAGGTATAGTGGGCCGCACACAGCTACTTTGAGGGGGCTGAATTCACACCCCACGCTTCGAATGTCCAGTGGTAGCTGGAAATAGCTAGAGGGGAAGTCCCTGGCATTGTTGTTGCAATCAAACCAATAGATAGAATCAAGTTTGTGGGTTGAGATCGCTGCAGTGCAGCTTCTACATTCTGACCAACAAAAAACATATTTTACAAAACAAGCATGGTCTGTGCAGATTGAAGGGTGTTTTTATGTGCACCGTGTACGTCAGATTTCTTTTCTCTCTACAGCAGCAGCAGAAGTTGATGTTTTATGCTGGCACTTAGATGGTGCAGAGTAGGTGGAAAAACACTCCAGCATTATGGTGGTGCAGAGCTCGCATAGGGCGGATGACATTACCACACCCTGTAACACTGAGTCGGCATAAAGGCCCTTAGAGACGAGGAGGAGGAAGCAAAGGACAGAGGAGAAGCACTACAAGGCCAAGATTTCAAACAAGCTGCTACTTTCACACACCTGCTGTTAAGAAAAGCTTGAGCTCAGCTTTTAGTGCTAATACCTTAAGAAAATGAAATATGCACCTTTAAACCCAGCAGGACGAGCAAGGGGACGTTGTTCATGCCTCCTTCTACCCACTCATCCAGAGACACTGTGCCGCTGCTGTCAGCATCAATCGCTGTCATCATGTCCTTCAGAACCTAATGAAATCAGATTTACCTATTATCCAATCAGCGCACACATTTTCACCACGTAAAAATGATCATATGGTTTCTGAAACCAGTCCTGCATGGCAATCAGTGAATTCTACATATAAGACATTTTATCTTTCAAAGGATGAGCTCTACGTGTGATGCAACACGAGTCTACCTGTAGATGCACTGAATTTATGGCAAGAGATGAAAGTACAGTTTGTGCTCAGTTTCATTGGTTTGTAGAACGTTTGTCTTCCAGGACAGAGCATTCTGGGACTTACAGGCTTCAGCTCTGACACATCCCAGTCAAGATATTCTGCAGCATGCATCATCTGAGCAATAATCCGATCTACTTCCTAATAACAAACACAAATACATACATTAAACGTTTTGTGCCTGGTATGATAAAATATTTTTAGAGTTGTGTTGCAAACTATTGTCTCAACAACTTACAGAGCTGTCAAGTACTCCATTACCATCTCTGTCATAGAGCCTGAAAGCAACTGAAGAGAACAAGGAAATGAAAGAGGAAATGAAAGAGCGTCACTTAAGTGATCCTGGTCAGAAAATAAACAAAGGACTTACATTCTAGTTTATCCCTGGGCTGGCCATCCTCCAGGAGAGAGAAGTAACATGAAACATCCTTGAGGAAGACCTCCTCTACAGAAGAGATGGAGGAAAGGGAGAGGGCTGTAAATACTCTGCTTATCATTTCTGCACAAAGAGCGCTGAACAGACGCGCAGCGATAAACGACTGTGCAGCAAATAGTTCATAATGTAAAGTGATAAGGGCCTGCTGTAAAGTGAAGGGAATGAGTTGCTTGAATACATAAATAATCTCACTAGTGCCGTCTTCCTGGGTGGGTTTAGAGTTCTGGAAGGAGCGGAAGAGTCGTTGGCAGAGATCTGAAGGGAAATCCTCCACTTCTAAATAAGTCTTCAGGAACTGACGAAAGCCTTCTTCATTTATGCACTGAGGAGGGGAGACATAAATGAGAGGTATATTTTGATTTTAACTGGTTTAGTATGTTCAATAAAATGGCTGAACTCTCTTTATATGGTGTGATTAGTAGCTTCTGCATTTTTCTAATTCAACTCTTGTGAAGATAAGGGAAGGTGATGAGCACATTGAAACTAACACTTAAAATTTTGTGTTACTTGTAAAAAAAAAACATCTTGATCTTAGGTGCATGTATGCTGTGTTGATTAAAATGCTTTCAAAAATCCAAGACACTACTCACCCATAAGACACCGTTAAAATGCAAAAATATGCACAACTGAAATTGGTCTGATTGCAGTTTTTTGTGTGTGCCAGTAAGATAAAACGAACAAAAAAATAAAAAGTAGCTCCTGATTTAAGATTCCACTCCATCTGCTCGGCTTGACAGATGGACTGGAGTCACATGATATTCTGCTGTGGGGCTAACAAGCAGTATTCCCCAGACAATGGTGAACCATAAATCCATTTCATGTTGATGTTATTCTCCTTTCCTGGCTGATACCCTGCAGAGATGCCCCAGTAACACTTAGAGCTTCATCAAGCCTGTTCCAGCAGATGGAGGACAAAGCCCAGAGGAACTGCCTCACTACTCCGATTAGAAATGTACAAGTAATAATTTCACCGCTCTATTTATTCACACATTTCTGATATTTTAACATTTATGCATTGCTAGCTGCTGAAAGCAGACGATGATGTTTTAGCACGTGTCTGTGTGTCTGCCTGTTAGCAAAATAACTTGTGAACCACTGGCAAAATTGATCAAAACTCTCAGAAAGTAATCACTGGAGTCTGTGTGTCTGTGTAGCTGCCACAGACAACTGAGCAAAAACACAAAAATGGCTGTAACTCAGGCAGTTTCACAGATAATGTGTTAAAAATACATATGGTAGTAGCTGAGAGTCACAAACTCCAAGCGCTACACACTGCGTGAGATATTTGCTTTAACTGCTGAAGTTGACCCCATTTGTCTGTTAGCAAAAAATCTCACAAACAACTGGATGGATTAAAAAAAACTTTCAGAAAGGACTCTTTATAAACATCTTTAACTTAACTTGGCTAACTGATTAGTTGTTTCTTAATTGACTGACTAATTGTAATGAACGAGCACAAAGCTGTCTGTAATTCAGTCAGTGTTACTGATATCAAGCTCAAATCTATTGTGGTAAAAACTGAGTTATTCAAAAAAATATTCTGAGCGTGAGATCTCACAGTGATGCTGGAGTTTGTGCAGAATATTATTTTCAAGGTTTGACCTCATCATAGCTTCATCGTGTCTCAACATTCATCTTAGCCTCAAACTCTGGCAGGACGGGCAGCAGGCGATTCTTTCATTTCCCATAGTCAAACTTTACATTTAAGATTTTTTTAAATAAAACTGAATGTAGCCAGATCCCATCAATAACGAGTACATTTGTTTTCGGCACTAATTAGTTGGCAGTGTGGGCTGCTGTCGTACAGAACTTTAAAGATCTACTTTTAATTACATTTGTGCTTATACTGCACGAGGACTCCCTGTAAAGCAGGACCTGCTACGTGAGCAAACCTAAGGAGGTCATTTACATTTGCAGCCTTGCCTAAATGTGACAGCTTGGTCGAATTGATCGATAGGTAGAAATCTAATTAGACAGAAAAGGATAATTAATAACTGTCCAATATACATGAATCACAGTCCCATTTCACACTAGCACAGCTGCGCTCATAACTCTTTCGTTGCTGGGTTTATGTGCAGCTGACATCAGTGTGAGTCAGTTATGGAGGGGTGGACTTGACTGCGTACATCAGGACACACTGTCCCCTCACCTCTCCGTGCCTGTGCTGGGCCAGTCTGCCATCTTTATCGAACTCCTTCAGCACATCTTTCACCTTCAAGCTGCAATCTGGAAGCAACAACACACACGTCACAAAGATGCGCAAATAAAAAGAGTTCACCGAAATTTAAATCTTCAGTGGGTATCTGATTAAATGTTATTTAAAAATGTATTTGTCTGAAATACAACAATATATGTGTATGAATAACTTGCAAAAAATAAAAAATAAATAAATAAACGTGGTAGAGTATTGTTGCCTCCTCCAGATATGAGAAATCATGAGCGAGTGTAAATGAGCGTGTGTGGGTGGAAGTGTGTGCGGGGAGGGATGTTAAGCGCTGCAGAAGCTGCCCGCCCGCCTGCTCGCCTGCTCGCCTGTCTGTACTCACATTCAATGTACTGTTGTAGCTGGATAAAGTCGACAGGGTTCAGTTCCTTCACCTCTGGGTTTGTGGGGGCGGACATGGTGCCTGCTTCTGCACTAACTGCCTGTGAACATACAGGCGAGAGGAGCAGTGAGATGTAGACGGAGAGAAAAGAGAAGGTGGGTGAACAGCAGACAGCTTCTTTGTAGAGCATAAAAGCATGGCTGCAAGCAGAAGATAGCATCTTCCATCTCTCACTATAGCAATCCATAACTGTAAAGAGAGAATGAACCACTGAGGGGGAAGCAGAAAGAAAGTGCAACGTGCACACGTGAAAATCTTAAAGATACTTTTCTGATTATTTGTAAACACGTTCTCTTATAAGCCACAGCATCAGAACATGGAACCAGCCAGATGAAACTGGGTCTGTCTGAAATTACGTCTTCCAAAAGAGACCCACGATACTTTTACTCTAGAGAGTCTCTGCACCTCAAATCTGTTTCAGACTCACTGACCCAAATTAGGTTTTGACAAAGGGACTGCTAAAGAGACTAGGAAAGAGGGACGTGATGTGTTAGATAGAAGAGACAAACAAAGCATCTTTAAATAGAGGTTACAAAAACCAGTCTGGTTTGAGCAGGGGGCCTCCCCACATATGAAAAAGAAGAAGACTTAAATGTCACACGGGGTCGAAAGTGAACGACTCGTCTGCAGCTGATACACAGAAGGCGCTCTGAAGTGCAGCAAAACTCACGACGTGTCCCAGCATGTACAGGTGGGAGTGAGGCCTGGATCAAGGCGTGCACGTTTGTTGTGGTTGCTTTTATCAGCATTAAGCAGCTGCTGAACATAATGGAAGCCAACAGGAGAACAAGCAGACACATATACGCTTCATTACTCATTAAAGACGAGAGAAAGGAGTTGATGGACAGATGAAAGTGGTCACCTGGACATCCTGTTGGATGTTGCTGTCCACAGTGCACGACACTTAAAACAGCTCAACAAGTAACGCACCGACAAACCTCAAAAATACTTCAAGGAGTTAAAATCAATATTTATAGCCAAGAAATGTGAACTATCCGTCAGGTCTGTCATAAGAGGAATTATACAACAGATGATTTGACTCATCAGTACTCTGGTATCAACACATGCACTGCACTTATCTACAATATGCAATAAATTAGGATAACAGTGTACAATCTATTATGTATTAGCAAATTATTAAACAAACGTGCAGAGTCCCGTTCTTGCACATGGTCATTATTTCCATTAGTCTTTTTGATCATGTCAAACCTTCATCTCATGTTAAACTATAAATATTTTTGCTGCTGTGAAGTTATTTAACTGCATGTGCAGACGATTGCTGCACGAGAACACATTGGTAACTTTGGCAGCTTTACTTAAGAAAACAACAGAAGGTTTATTGTTTTTTAAATGACCTTTAATTGTGTAATCACAACAATCTGCACTAGGGCTCATATAAATTACATTTCCATTAAAAGTATTACACTACCGTACTGTAAATGAACACTTCAATAGAAAGCAACAGATGCAACTTTGTATTGCTTTCTTTTTTTTTTATTTACCCGTTGATAAAGTTAAAACGATCATTTAAATGTTTGCATACAGATTGAAAATGGAACGTAAAACAACAAAGTTTAAAAAGAGACAGACAATTTAAAGTGATGCAACCTGCACATTCAAGTTGGAAGGATGAGAAACGAAACATCTTCGTCTAACATGAAACAAAGTCCAGTTGCCTGTTTAAGGATTTGTTGTGCCGGACGACTGAGAAGCTACACAAGCACAAAGAGCGCTACATGGAGAAAATAAACCTCGCCAGGCTTTATAAATTGTTTAGAGTTAAATGATATACATTTATACAATTAAAAACAAAACAATCTACAGATAAAAATTAAATATTTTAGATTTGTTAATTTTTTTTAGTAAACTATGAAAATCTCTTTTAAAAACTTACGAGGGAATATTTAGCTCTAAAGCTAGATCAACTTTGTACCTGGTTAGTTATAAAAACTTGCATATTATCCCCCACAGACACTAAATGAAAGCGCAGTAGTTTTAAACTGAGGCGGATGAGAAGGCGTGCACTGTAAAGGTTTCGTCACGTGCTCGAGTGCAGCTGCTGCAGGTACGAGTGGCGGCCGCCTCCCTGCGCTGAACAATCAGTGCTCAAAAGGATAAAGAACGCACGGAGACAACAATCATGTGAAATAACCTCCACTGCCTACTTGTGATTTGGATCCATTAGCTCTCCTTGGACTCTGAAAGTCCACACTGTTCTCACTTAATTCCCTCAAAAGGTCAGCGGCGTTGCCTAGCACTTCTGTTTATGCAGCCAACGTGGTGGGCCCGGCCAGTATTGACAGAAAAGTGGCACATGAAGGAATCATGAAAAGCCGACTCGACTGATCACCAGACGACTGTTTATCCATCAAACATCCTCCAGACTCCATCTTCAAACATTGTCTTATAAATAAACTAAAAATAGGCGTTTGACTTTATTTGGGCAAGTCTTATTTTAGAAACTTACCAGAGTTGGGTTTTTTTTTTTTTACTAACTTTTATGCTCTCCAACATCATGTGACATCAAGAGCAGTAATGTTTTCATCTTTTCTCTCTCCAGCTGAGCAACATTATTTTTGTCTGCTTCATCACAATCTTGAGCCTATCTGTGTAATCTGATTCCTCACTTCCTGATTAGATAATGATTTGCATGCACAATGCAGGGGGGAATCAGGGCCGGTGGGAACACGGCGCACAGGAAGAAGCATTCCATGTGCTTAGAGGAGAAATGAATAGAGTAATACATTCAGAGCCAGTTGTCTGCCTTCAGAAACATGGAATGGACTTCTGGAAAACAATGGCATCAACTTAATGAGCGTACAGAAGCAGGCATAAATATTTCAGGGGGTTTGAGAGGGCCTGAAGCTTGAAAAGACTAAATACAGACCGTGTGACTGACTCAACTCTCAGTAAGGTCACGCTGGTGGACTACAGTTAAATGGCAGCTGCTTTATGAGGGAACTGTTTATATTTCTTATAGAAACATTAATGTGGAAAAATGTTGTGTGGATGTGTGAAAGGTCTAAATGTGAGCAAATCGGATGTCATTTAGGACGGGTTTATCGTTTAAACAAATTGCTGCTCCACGTAGTCAGTTCAGAAAGACGTGCACAACATTTACCATGAGGAAATATGAAAAAAGACATCACCGTTAAATGTTGAGCTACAGCTTCTGAAAGCAACATTTATAACTTCCTTATAGACATAACACAGTAAAATAATTAATTGTAACAGCAGAATGTAAAGCTGTCAACAACAATAAAAGCGCTCTCTTTACAGGAATCATTTTGTTTTACAGGGACGACCTTTTCCATGAGTGCTAATGTTTGTGCGAGGCGTCGTAACGCCCACGCCTCAAGTCAAGGAAATCTGCTGTTTTTGCAACACTCGCAGGGTGTAAGTCACTGACGTTGTCATTCTGTGGTTGGAAAAGACCATTTTGGTTCTTTGAACAACAACAAAAAAAGTGATAATGTTGAGCTGTTGTGTTCTTCCTGAAACGACAACATTGTCTTCAGTGAAGCATGAGCAGATCGCATCAGGTTAATAGAGGGAACGCAGCGACATGCACGGTTGCTACGGAAAGAGTTTCCCTCCATCAGCTGCTCTCCGTCAAAGCACCGATACGGGTGACTAACAGGTAGGAGGATCCGCAGACAGAAAAGGAATCAGCCAGCTCAGGCAGGGGGAGCCCAGTAGTTAGCTTTGAGTCTTCCCCCTTTGGCTACGCCTCCTCCAGTACCACCAGTGTTAAACAGAGGCCATGCTCCAAACTACATTCAACATGCAGATGTTACCATGACTCACTGCATGAACAACGAATACGTCTTTACTATAAATGGACAGTTAGCTCAACGGGCTACTTTGCAGCTTAAAACAGAAGTTACAAAGCACTATCAGAGAAAAGAGGCGCTTCTGAATGTTTACTCAAACTCTTAAAAGCTTCAGAGAACCACTAACGAAGCTGTTTTGAAGCTTTTCCCTTCCTTGACTCCCTGCCAAATGCAATGCTGGCTCTTATATATGTGATATAAATTGCTAAATTATGCTAAAGAACATTATGAATAAGGGATTTCTAAACAAAAAATAGAAAGGAATATTCTCAAAAGTAGTGACAAAAAACAATAAATCTGTGTAGTCACAGCTGAGCAGAGTTTCAAAACAGGGCTTTCCCTTGTTCATAACTCTGTGGTGATATGTGAGGAACCGGATGGTATGCTACAGTCTCCACTTAGAAAAAACACTGGATAAAATAGAACACAATAAATATAGAGTGTAAATCATGCCAAAAATGAAAAATAGAAAAGGACCTCAACCACAGAATGAATCACCGACTTCTTGGAAAATGTAGGCGAGACTTCACTCGCTCCCCAGCTTCAAAGTGAGGACTGCCCATCATTCTGAGTTCAGACTTGAATGTGACTTATGTAATAGCTTTTTTGTGGAGGCAGTCTTGTAGAACAGCAAGCTGTGCTTCGACAGAAAGAGGGAAAAAGGTACAACCTGACCAGACTTGCAAGGTAGCATGCTGTCATACAACAACCACAGTTTTATTTGTAGAAGTATTTGCATATGTATGAGGAGATCTTTAGTTTCCCACGGATTTACCAACAACTGGAAAAAAAGATTTTTTTTTATGTGATCAAAAATATCATTTTAATAATATTTTCCACTATCATATTAGTAATTCAAAGAATTAGGATCATCAGAAAGTGTGAGACGTTTAGTCGGTTCATAGCACTACCATACGATGATGTATATGTTACACTCTCACTATTAACTACTTTATTCCCTGTAAAAAAAAACACACACACACAAAAAAGTATTTTCAGTGGGGATGATGATGTTTTTTCATAAAACATTTAAATTTGCTTTTAAAGATCAAAAATTAGTGAAACTAACTCAAGAGAACAAGTTACAACATGTTAAGTGCTCACTGGTGCTGTTTTATAAAACACAAATTCATATTTAGCAGCTATTACATGATTAGTGCTCGATGAGGAGATAATAAAGGAAGTGAGGGCTAAAAACAAAATAGAACTGCTAAATTTAGAGAAGCCAAATAATCCATGAACAAAATAATCTTTAACACTATTTCCTGGACTAAAACAGCTTCACCTCATTACGCAAACTAAACCACCAAGTAAACAATATTTAAATGAACTCACAGGTTATTGACTCACATGTGAGCATCAAAAAGGAGCAATACTGACCTAACTACAGCGCCGACTTTCTGTGGCCTAAATACATTTACAACAACAAATGAATAACAAAAAGCATAAAAAAGCGCGAGGAACAGAAACCATTTTGATCTACCTTTTCCTTTATGTTGTGATTTTGCACTTAACATGACAGCTGAAAGTGACACTCATCATTTACTATGAAAATAAGAGTAACGGGAGCTGTAAGTAAACAATGACCTCACAGAAGTGACAGTGCCCACCAACGCCCACCTCACACCATGAAAGACTTGGCAGTCACAGTACTGGCATTAAACAGTGTAACCTGAGATGCTCCATGTGTGTTGCAGGTGATTTTTCAGAGTTGCCACCAGGACTGCGAAATATCCTTTAACACACATATAATCAGAGGCGTGTCACTCAGATATATCTTATCACATACAAACAGTAACCCATTTGCTAGTGACATATTAGGTTGTAAACTGTGTTGACAATTTAAAGAAAAAGTAGACTTGTCAAACATGTACCTGCCTGTGGTCATCAGAAAGTGTCCTCACTTGAGCAACCTGATATGATCAGTCATTTCAGCAAAGGGAACTGAAATGATGCCTATTTGTGCTCCTTCCAATAAAAAGCAGAGCACTCAGCAGACATGCTTGTTTTTCTGCTGAGTGAACTACTCTGTTGTTACCACATGTGCAGAACTCACGGCTGGTATTTCCAGCGAGCTACTGACGAAACGCAAAACCTGAGGGCTAAAATTATCCTTCGGTGTTTGACGTTATTCTGTGGCTAAGACCGAGACACTTCAATCAGCGCGAGTTACTGTGTTTGCGGCTCATTTACCTTTCTGTCGACGATCCGTCCTTCTGCTCTTTTGATCCGTATTTACCGAGCTCGTCGTGGTGCAGCGCTGCAGCCGTGTACGACCCTGCTTGGGGCCGAGAGGCAGAGCAAAACTTCAAATGGAGGCGGCAGGTCGTCGGAGTGGAGGCAGTGAAGTGGAGCAGGGCAGGGAGTGAGAGCTCCCCTCCCGTCCAACACAAGCACCGCCTCGGCTGCCCTCCTCCACAGCCCGCCGCAGGCATCCATCTGCAAGCTCCACACTATGAGCCTTAACTCAGCATCATTATTACGCTCTAATAAAGTAAATCCATGCAGAATAAATGTAATAGACCTAAACAAAACAAATTATACTTCATTCATAAAAGTTTTAAGGAGCCTTCTGTAAATTAATTAAAACGGACTGAAACAGCCAAAGGTAAGTAAGAAACGTCTCTACATAAAATAAATACTGAGATCTGTACAGCACAACCTATAATAGCAACAAAATAATAATAATACCACATATCTTTTAAAAACCTATGCACTGGTAGCTAAAGGAACAGCCGCTAATTATTAGCTTGATGCTATGAGACCTCAGATACACTTTTGTTGTTCATATTTACATAAATTTGTATTTACATACTTGTAGGAGCAGTGGTCATTTCTAAAAAAATAACAAATAACACTAAAATGAAATGAAGTCATACTTTTAACCGAGATAGAGTAGAGCAGTTAACGGTACAAATGTGTACCTAGCTAGCTACATGCTATGAAGTCCACGAGCAGTTTGCGCGTGCCTTTGAATTCACCTCTAGCCAATCAGAAACGAGTATTTTCCATCATACAAATTTATAAAGTTCACATTATATTTAATATATTACAAATACAACATTGTATGTTAATTATAAGCAATCATGTATTTTAGTTTTGTTATTATTTATCATTAGGCTGAACACCCAACAGTGCGCAAAGATCAAAGAAAAATTACCTTAATGCTTCAGCAGAATACCAATTATTACTGTATGTCCAATATAACTTTTACATTTTAAGCATTTGTGTTTATATTTGATAGGTATATTTTACTATTAATTTATGAACGCTAGATCCACAGGCAGCACAATTAAAATTACCTGGTATGTTTGTGTGTTCCCTCGTTTATCGGAGGATATATATATATATATATATATATATATATATATATATATATATATA